AGCTGCCACTTGATGACGGGCAGGTCGGCGCTGAAGCTGACGTAGTCAACCGAGAGGAGGGCCTCACCTCCTAGCGTGCCTCGGATGAGAGAGCTGGGAAGCGTCATGTTCACTGCTAGCACCACACCTGCAGAGACGGAGGCATTCTGAGCGGGCTTTAATAGTGAATGACAGAACAATTGAAGAGGACATATTCCGGAAAATTTACATTTTATTGTTGTACGCAAACTGGGGCAATGATTGAAGTGTGTTGGTAATAGGTGGGGGTTCACTATGTCTTCTTTAAAATAAAATGGGAGCCTACTTGAGACTTTGCATTGAACACCACCACCACTGCTGCTTTGCAGAGCAGCTCCGCGCTGCCATGGTAACCTCAAGTCAAAGTCTGTAGGATGCATGGGCCAGCATCCGCAAATAAAAGTGCCCATTGTTTCCCTATTGGCAGGCACTGACAGCTATACAGCTGCCAGGCTCGGCTATGCTATTCTAGCTGTGTAGAAACAGAGCCGCTCAGTGACTGTGCAGCTTGCAACAATGGCTGGGCAGTGAGTGAAGGCCGGACATACGCACCCGCACGCACCCGCACGCACACGCGCGCACACACACACACACACACACACACACACACGCACACAAACTGGCAGAAAAAAACATCCCCTCAAGAAAAGCTAATGTGACACAAAAATGGATAGACTAGCGCACACTCACACATACAAATAGATGAGTGAAACTAAGTGATGGTCTTGTCCTAAAAGAATCCCATTTCAAACAAGTCGTCATACATGTGGCTACTGGCCACTGAATACGGGCTACCTTGATGATGAAATTCAAGACAATTCAAAACAAATGCTTAATATTATAGCAGCTAAAACAAGTTTGGGCAGGTATTCCAGTGAGAGTAGATTTTGTTGATTTTTTATGTTTTGTTTCTTATCTATTTGGATTTGCATTTTTTTTCTTGCGTTAAGTATGAATCTGTGTTTTGATATATTCTGTATGATTTTAAATTTGTTGAAGTAAAAAGCGCTATCTATATTACTTTCTATTATCCTATTACATAACTCCATTATATTTTGTTGTATTGTAACTAATATCATACATAAATTCTGATGCATTTAACTTCAATGCTTTTGTCCTATATGGCATATTATTTTACATGAAGACAACTAATGACAAATAAAACAGAACCACAATCCAAAACATATAATGACATCAAAATTCGGGTTTAGATCATTCTCACTGAGATGATCTAAAAACTAAGTTGAATGAAGAACTTATGTTACTCGTGGATATATCATGCAATTATAAGTTTCATAGTGTTCATTACTAATTGCCCACAGCAGTTTTTTCTTCTGATCAGGCACAACAAAACAACAATATTCAGTTTTGGTTTATCCTATTGGATGTCAAACAGCCTAAAGTTGCATCAAACTTTTTCAAGTTTCAAGTTAAGATGCACAACAAAAATATGACTAACCTGTGTGAAAGAAATCCAGACAGGACAGAAATAGAATCCATGGGTTTATTTTGACTCTGGAGTCAGTCTCTGCCATCGTCGTCATCTTCACATTGACTTTCCGGCTCAGTTTGCCACCTACCGCTTCAGGATATGACGTCACAACGCCTTTTTAATCTACTATAAATCAGTTAAAAATTTTTGTAATGGGTTAAATGCGTTAATAATGAAGAAAAACAATTTTATGTCATACTTTAGGGTATATCAATGCAACAATTCATAATTATGTAAAACACGAGAAAGAATTCAGCTCTGCATAAGACACAAACGAGATGGCTTCGTGGTTAATTTAAATGAGCTCTGAGACCGTGTTGATGACGTCACGCCGTACGACGTCAGCTGGACGCGCGTCGGACGAACGCCGCCCTTGCAAAATCGGCGTTCGAAAGGCGTACAAACCCCGACCGGAGCTCAACTCCAAAGCCCCCCATGCACACACAAGTCACTCAACTAAAGACTGCAAGTGCCCACGCGTGACGCCAGATGCGCATCTTCGAGAGGCACACATGTCTGCTTGAGGGGCATGGGAGGGGGGGGGGCGTGCGAGCTTACCCGCTACACAGGCCCCCCCTCACTGCTGCGCCACTCGGCAAAAAAATAATGGTGACTGTTGTTTTCGCTTTATGCATATTAAAAAAACATGCATTTGTTTGTCTATTCATTTTTACCACCGTTGGGCCCCCTCATGAGATGAATTCTGGTCACAAAAAATGCCCTTTGTTTGCAAAGTTGAGGAAGCTAATGACAAAAGGTAAGTAACTTTGAGTACAAGTTCATTCTGATACTCATGTGACAGTTTAAACGTGAAAAGTTGAATCAAAGTACAGTACACTCTTTACAAAAAAATGTCACGCCATGCCACCAAACATCAAAAACTAAATCAAGTGACTCACAAAACTTGTTCGTAAAACTTGGCCCTGTTTGAAAACAATTTTGTTGTATGAATGGCAAGTGGTGGATGCGAAATGTATGTATGCATCTTCTGTTATCTAGTGGAAGAGCATTTAATCGTTTTTGCCTTACGATAACGTCGATAGGATAGCAAAGATCGATTATGTATCTGTAAAAATTCCAACAAATTGAACATTGTGTTCAAAGTACCGACGCATAGCAGCACACAGCAAAGCCGACAGGCCCCAAAGGCAGACCATGGAACCAGTGGTATAAAAATGAGGTCCAGTACCGACAGGACACGCTGTCTTAGGGCAGGCCGGGTGCTCCTCTGTGAACCTTCTCATAGCTATGAGACAGATGCCCGGGCCACGGGAGCCAAGAGGAAAGTGGAGGAGGACGCTAAGACTCCAGCCAGGAAGAAGAGGAAAGGCGAGCTTCCAGAGGACAAGGAATCTTCCTGCAACTCCGGTGACAATGGTGGGTGCAGCTGTTCCAACTCTTTGACTGTGCAGATTCTTCATGAACCGACCTACAAAATATTTCTTCAGAATGTAGAGTATGTAATTATCTTGTAGCATGCCTACAAAGTTCTCAAGTGGCTGCACAAGTGGGAGGCTTCCAGGCGGTGGATGGAGAGGAACCAAGCGTCCACCCGAAGATGATGAAACCCAGCGACGATGACGTCTCAGGAGTTTGCTGGGGTTGGTGTAACTTCTTGGTTTTGAGAAAAAAAATCTTATCAGTGCATAGTGTAATGATAGTAGATAAAAAATCCTGGGTAGGTTGAAAAAAAAAAGACAATGGACAGGACAGATTAGAGGTACAAATGAAGATGAGACAAAGACAATGGTCGACAAAGTATAGATGAATTGACACAGATGATTAGAGGTACAAATGAAGATGAGACAAAGACATACAATGGTCGACAAAGTATAGATGAATTGACACAGAAGCGCAACAGGGTTGCGGGTGCATGTGCACGGTTGGCGACTGATTATTTTCCAGTTTAGTTGTGTTCGGCCCTGTCACTGTGAACACAAGCAATATCTCTTTGTGTTGCTGTTTAGCTCAACTGGAGCTGAAATACGTGCAGGAGAGACTGCTGGCCGTAGGAGGCTGTGGATCCGTCTTTACCGGCTACCGCAAAATAGACAATTTCCCAGTGAGTATTACACATGTGAGTATAACATACGTGCAAACCACGCTGCCTACAAACCCCGGCCTGTAAGCGTTCAAGACATCTACAGTAAGGTGAGACTGCATTGACCTAAGTTTTTACTATGTAGGTGGCCATCAAGCACATCCCAAAAGACAACAATATAACTCTACAGGTAAGAGGCAAACAACTATGCGGAATTGTTATGTGGATCAACGCGGGTATTCAACATTGCAAGGGATATTTCAGAAGCAAAAGGACAGGATCAACATGTCCTCGGAGGTGGCCGTTATGAAGAAGCTTGCCAAAGACTTGCCTGAGGGGCGCTCGCCTTATGTCACTCTACTGGACTGGTATGACCTGGGTCAGAAGCTCATTCTGGTGATGGAGAGGCCCGTTCCCGCTGAGGACCTGACCGAATACATTAGCAAGAAAGGAGGGTGTCTTGATGAGAGCGAGGCTAAGGTACACAAAAGCGGTCTTTGGCCACAAACATCCACTCAGGGACAAGGGACACGAAGGTGTTTTTATTTCACAGGTCATACTGAAACAGTTGCTGGATGTGGCTCAAAAACTTCAGGAGAAGCACATTTTCCATCGTGACATCAAGACCGAAAACATCCTGATCGAGAGCACCCCCGACGGCCTTCACGTCCGCATCATCGACTTTGGACTGAGTTGCTTCACCAAGAAAAGATCTCTCTACAGACTCTTTTTTGGTAAGATTGAATGACCGTGACTTTGTTGAAATGTTTGCCTTTTCTTGATCGTACACTTGGGCGGGGGGGTTTCAGGAACTCCTTCTCTGGAGCCCCCCGAATGGCTCCGCCACCAATGGTATCGGGCGGGCCCCACCACCGCGTGGCAGATCGGGACGGTGCTCTTTGACATCCTCCACAATGAAGTGGACTTTCAAACAGAAGGGTACCTCAAGGAGGAGATAAAAATTAGCAACAAGTTTTCGGATGGTAAGGAACACCTCTGAAAAGATTCTTAATTTCTCTTTTAATGCTTTGAATGAACGACATAGGAATGCCTGCCACTCTCGTCATTAACCCCCCCCCCCCTATCCCCCACTTATTTTTTTTTGTATGAGCAAAAATGCTGATACAAAGGTGACATCTTTTCAATTATGGCTATGATAGGAGCAAAAATGAAAATATTTAAAAATACACCTCCCCCCACCCCCGCAAGATTGTCGGGATTTCCTGCAGAAGAGCCTGACCGCGGCGCCTGAAGAACGGCCCACCCTCAAAGAGCTGCGGCGTCACAAGTGGCTCAGATAACACCGGAGAGGTCATCATGGTAAGACATTTTTATTGGTGATCAAAAACGTAAGGTACACATGAACGTGAACAGTTTCAGTGAATTCACCCCTGTAATCTGTTTTTGCTTCAGATTGCCAAGAGGACGAAGTCCCCAAACTGTCAGTTTTAAAATGAAGTTTTAATAACCAACAACAAAAAAAAAAGCAAAAGCCAAAAAGTGAGGATTCGTATCCACCCCACACCCTGAAAAAAAGAAATAAACCAACCCTGTTTGTTGTTTTTCCACATTAAAAAAAAGTTTTCAACTTTGACCACAGAAAGCATGGTGGTGACACTTTATTGATCTCAGAAGTGATACAATAACAAATCATTTGCAATACAGCGAAAAACAGATGAAACAACATTTGAATTTTCTCTAATCGTTGACAACTGTTAAGGATGTTTATGGGAGTGCGGCTAAATATGCATAAAAATCTTACGGAAATCTGGAGAAAACCCACGATATGGGATAAAAATGGACATTTTTTTTTTTTTTTTACATAACCCCACCAACATGAATAGTACAGTCACACAGCCGTTTCTATTAGAGGCTGGCTTAATTGTATTAGAATATAAAGGGTAATGCCATAATAGCTTGTTTATAACGACACAAACGACATCACTAATCTACACAAGGGCCCTTGGTTGTTTCCACCCAAAGCGCCAACCTATGAGGGGTCATTAGCTGTAGCTATAGTCATAAGAAAACATAAATTGCCATTTCACAAGTGAATGCTTGGTCCTGTAAGTTTGGCTGAACTGAGGTGCACAACGTTCGAACTGGCTCGATAATGAAAAGAAAATGAAGAGTGAATGGAAAGCACTGCAACCAAAAGGCTAGCGTGAAAGGAGGTAGATGAACAATAAATAGCATTTGTGATTTTATTTTTTTGTCTACAAAGCATTGACTATGTGTTTGCAATAGTGGGACAATTACAAAACTGGCCAGTAACTTGTGCCAAGTAATCACGCGGGTTACTTTCTACTTTACAGTTATAAAAGTAATTGCATTAGCATGCTGGAAAAGGTCCATTACATTTAGCGTTAAAGCGACTGCTCTGTAATAATTTGGTCATTATCTAAAACACCGGCTTAATGGGAATGCAACTAATCCCCCCCAAAAAAAGGTGAGGTGACAAAAATGTAGTGGTACTAAATCTTGTGTGCTGAAATCAGTGAGTTTAAACCCCCCTCCAACCCCCCCCCCCAAAAAATAGTAGCTAGTATAAAAAAATAAATGGGCATACATGGATGTGTGCAGAAAAAAAAGGGAGTGTCTCTGTTGACGACAATTTCACTTTGATCAGTTGCAACATTAAGACGTTTAAGGATGGAATGATTGACACATTTTCACACATTTTCACTGCCCCCCCGGAAAATTTTCCCCAGTTATTGCGAAAGAAGCTATAATGTTGTATATGGTATGTCGGAACTGTGATCACAATGACAACACATTTGCATTCCTGACTAGAACATTTACCATTTTTGTTATCAACCGGGTGGAAAAATCTATGTCTCGCGTCCGTTTTGAGCAGCAAAGTAACACTGCGGTTGGATGGCGGGTGCAAAGCCAGCCGCTCAGTTCTTCAGCACGGCGTCGTAAGTCTGGTACACGTACTGAGACACCTCGGGGGCCCGACACTTGAGGGACAGCTGCAGGACCAGCCAGGACACAAAAAGTGTTGATGATATCGTCTTGATTCTTTCATGCCGTGTATATACAGTGGCTACAAAAAGTCTACACACCCCTGTTGAATTATGCATGGTTCCACAATACCAGTCAACTGTTCGCACAAAACTGAATGGCTTCTGCCACATCACAAAGTCATTTGAGCAGGCGTGTGTAGACTTTTTTTTAAATATCCAGTGCAGATGAGATACTGTACCGTGTAGTTGGGGTTGCCTGGCTGAATGCGCAGCTCGGCCAGTATCCAGATTCCGTTGGTGAGTTTGAGGGACTGGTAAAGCATGTCCTGACCCTCCACGTTGCGCTTTGCAATGGTGTAGATGTTGTTGTTCTGCAGCTTGCCCGACACGGTGTCTGCAAGAGTGGAATTTTACTTTTACTTGGTTTAAAAAAAAAAAAAAAAATCAAGAACCCAGATTTGACACTACTGTACCACACTAGAATGGAACCTCTGAAGTCGAAAGTTGATTTTGAGTCGTTGGGTCAGTTTAGAAAGCATTGATGGTTGAGCAAAATAACTGAACAATCAGCAAATGTTTTGAACAACTTCTCCAAGTTGTGAAATGCACCAAAACCAAAATTAATTTTTTTTTTTAAAGGGTCATAATGCATCAACTTATTGCAACTAGCATATACATAATAATTCTTCGTAAATTAAAATATACTTTTTTCAAATTAGCTAACATACTAGCCTAAATAACTAGCATACAACACTGATTTGACATTGCACGTAGGATCCACACTAGCACTTTACACAAGCGCTGATAAATTCACCTTTGGGCATTTACAAACAATAAATCTGAAGAAATTCGGCACAATTTTAAGGGCAAAGTAGACCACAAGGAAAATTTACGGAGTTCCTTGAAACCAGAAGGTCTGCAGCCGATCGCCACCATATGTTGCTATTATTGGAAAAATGATTTCAAAAGCCAAAGAAATAGTAAGCCAACCAGTCCCGGCAGGGATTGTGTTCGACCTCACAGGTTCCGCTTTACACGCCCCACATCAAACACACACGAAAACGGGGAGCTCCTGTAAAATGTGCTATTAGCAACACATCTATGAGGAAAAGGAGGATGAGATCGCGCAAATGGGATTTCTAAACTAACGTACTGGACAACTAACACGGGAAAGCAGCTATTCTGAAATATATACAAGGATGCCTATCGTCGAAAGAACTTGATATGTCCTTCGGTTGGAAGAGATTGTGTTGTTATCCTAAGACAAGCATGTGGGCGAAGACAGAAAACAAACAAGTGAGGACTGTGGATCAGTTAGATTTGGAGTTTGACAACCTAATATAACTTTTGTGAAGTCTTCAGTGTGACGTCGCAGGGATTGGACCCTCTCATGTCCGTTCCTTTTCTAAAGTTGCTTTCAAAAGGACATTTCGGTGGGCTTGTGTGTCACTTTTAGGTGTTTACTGTTTGCGGAGATCTACCTGCATTTAGGTGGCACTCCTTTATCTGGTACTGCAGCTCATTTTCATTGGGAATATCTTTCCAGGTGGCAAGGAACACCTGTCGCTCTAAGGAGAGAGAAAAAGCATGCTTGAGAAGTTAAGCTGTGCAGAGAACCAAAATAACTTATCGGCACAGTATATTTTCTTTTTTAACCTTTTTTTAAGTTCTGAATGGTAACTGGTTTGACACTAAACTTTCGGGGCCCCCAAATTGATTGATCAAAGGTGGCCAAATAACTAATAAATACTGAGTTTAATTTTTTGAAAGCAATTTTTGTTGATGTAATGGAGACAACAACAAACCCATTTTTCCATCTTCAACAAAGAATATGTTGAGGGGGATGAGGACGCTATAGTAGAAGACATCTATGTTGTTCTTCACGGCCACCTGTGTGCAAAGCAGAAATTTCCTGAAACAAAATCCCATCATGTCAATCAATTGTGACTTTGATTCTGTACCTGGAGATTGTTAAGTGGGTCCATCTTCATGACTGGCCCGATGGTATTGATGGGCAAAGAGACGTCGATGCCCTGGCTGGGCATCAGCGGAGTGTGAATGGGTAGCGGGCTGGTGGGTATCATCCCAAAGCTGCGGTAAACCACAAACAGGCCTTTAAATCTATAGTGGGGTGATATCAACTATGGAGGCACAGCCAGAGCGCTTATTGACCTGTTCTTGTTAAACTGGATGGCGAAGTCGGTCATGTGCTGCAGGGCCTTGTTGGTGAAGGTCATGTCCATGTACATGTGGCCCTGCCGCCGAGAAAAGGTTCCGGAGATCTCCAGTCCTTTGGCTTTCACAGCAGGCAACCATACCTTGGAAAATACGCCAGTGCAAATGCTCAAAAAGATCCGAACTTTGTCTCTCTTAATCTCTACTCATCCATTTTGAACATGAGTGTTTTTAAACTCACAGCTTTCGGGGCCACGTAGCCTCCGGATGTGATGGCCATACCCGTGGAGAGCTCAAATAAGTCGTTGAGGCCACTGCTGCTGACGGCCGGAGGGGCGGGAGTGGGCGATGGCGCAAAAGTGCTCGGGACGGACGAAGGGATGAAGTTCTGGCCCACCTGAAACAACATCACAAGAGAAGCAGAAGGAGTGAATCAAGCGATTTTAAGTCGCTGTCACTAACACGGCAGCGACAAAAGTGCTGCGAAGCTGACAAGAATCACAGAAGCAGCTCATGCAAATGTTCTCCGGGTTACCGAAAACCTTATGAGAAGAAGAGGTGAGCAAACTCAAATGCAGGGCAGGTGCAAATTTGCATGCTTTGGCCCGTTACGGATTTTTGCAATGGAATCTATACAGGAAATACTCCAACAGTTGTAATTATGTATCAGCCACCTCAACGTTTTCTAAACGTCCACATCTATGTAAATTGGAACTACAACAGATGGCCTCGCCACGGGCCAAAACGTGCCAAGTGTTGACAAGTAAGGCAGCAAGCGAACAAGCTGTAATTATACAGAGGAAGGCGATTCGAGAGAGTAGTGGGTTAAAAAGTGCGGGAGCATGCAGAAGGCGGGCAGCCAAACAGAAGGAGCTTGGACTTACAGCTGGACTCCCCCCAACACCACCGCCAAGGTCTCCCCCCAGCTACAGGAGAGACAGAGAGAGAGAGACAGAGAGAGACAGAGAGAGAGGACCCCCCCAAAAAAAGAACATGATAGACAGACAGACCACACACAAAGACAAGACAGACTTTTCTTAGCAACAGCAAGCCATCAGGAGGATCCTTCACTCAATTCTGAAACAAAAAGAACTTGAAAATTCATCCATAACCTGTTTTTATTCCTAAAAGGAAAAAGTAGGCATCCTTGAGAGGGACATATATATTTTTCTGAGGTGTATGTTTAAGGAGGTGCTGCTGGTTTGGTTAGCAGGATCAGCAGTTAACTCCTTCGTGTCTGTGTGTGTGAATTGAGAAAAAAAAAAAGCAGCTCCTGCTGCTACGACATATTCACCTACTTTCTCCTTTTACCCATCATTCTCAAACAC